CAAGGATTGGTGGAGTTGCAGATAATGAGGAGGATTGTCAGAACATACAGCAGGATATAGATAATTAGAGTCATGGGTAGAAAAATGGCAGAAGGAATTTAATCCAGGCGAATGTGAGGTGATGGCATTTTGGAAGGTAAGTATGGGTGGAACTTATACAGTGAATGGCAGAACTCTTAGCAGTATTGATATGCAGAGGGGTCTGGGTTTGCAGGTCCATAGATCACTGAAGGTGGCAGCACAGGTAGATAGTGTAGTAGGAAAGGTCTATGGGCATGCTTGCTTTCATTGGAAGGGGTATTGAGTTTAAGGATAGGCAAGTTATTTGCAGCTTTATAGAACTTTAGTTAGGCCTACACTTGGAATATTGCATACAGTTCTGGTCACCACACTACCAGAAGGATATGGCTGCTTTTTTGAGGGTATGAACAAATGTTTACCAGGGTGTTGCTTGGTATAGTGGATTTTAGTTATGAAGAAAGCTTGGATAGACTGGGTTTGTTTTCACTGGAACGCAAGAGGTTGAGGCGTGACCTGATAGAAGTTTATAAGATTGTGAATGGCATAGATAGAGTGGGAAGTATGAGGCTTTTATCCAGGGTGGAGGGGATAATTACTAGGGCACACAGGTTCAAGGTGTGGTTGGCGGGGTTAAAACAAATATGTGAGGCAGGTTTTTCCACACAAAGGGTTGTAGGCACCTGGGACATGCTGCCAGAGGGTGGAAGTAGACACATCAGCAGCATGCAAGAAGCACCTGGATGAATACATGAATAGGAAGGGAATAGATGGATATGGATCCTGTAAGTCAAGACTGTTTTAGCATGGAAAGGAAAAATGTGACGGTGCAGGCTTGGAGGGCTGAAGGTCCTGTTCCTGTGCTGTATTGTTCTTTGTATCAAGGTGAATAAATCCCGGACCAGATGTGGTGTACCCTAGAACTTTGTTGGAAGTTATGGAAGTGATTGCTGGGCCCCTTGCTGAGATATTTGTATCATAAATACAGGTGAGGTGCCGGATGACTGGAGGTTGGCTAACATGGTGCCAAAATTTAAGAAAAGTGGTAAGGAAAAGCTAGGAAGCTATAGACCGATGAGCTGGATATCAGTGGTAGGCAAGTTGTTGGAAGGGATTCGGAGGGACAGGATTTACACCTATTTAGAAAGGCAAGGACTGATTAGGGACAGTCAACATGGCTTTGTGCGTGGAAAATCGTGTCTCACAAACTTGATTGAAATTTTTTCTGAAGTGACGAAGAGGATTGATGAAGGCAGATTGGTTGTCAATATAGAATTCAATGTGATGTTCAACACGGTTCCACAAGGTAGACGAGTTAACAATATTAGATAATAGAAATACAGGGAGAACTAGGCAGTTGGACACAAAATTGGCTAGAAGATAGGAGATTGAGGGTGGTGGTGGAGGGTTGCTTTTCAGACTGGAGATCTATGACCAGGGGGTGTGTTGCAGGGATCAGTGCTGGGTCCACTGCTTTTCGTCGTTTATATAAACAATTTGGATGTGAACATAGGAGGTATGGTTAGTAAACTTGCAGATGATCCCAAAATTGGCAGTGTAATGGACAGCAAGTACAACGGGACCTTGATCAGATGGGTTGATGGGCTAAGGAGTGACAGACGGAGTTTAATCCAGATAAATGTGAGGTGCTACATTGTGGTAGAGAAAATCAGGGCAGAACTTGTAAATTTAATGGTAAGGTCCTGGGGAGTGTTGCTGAACAAAGAGACCTTGGAGTGCAGGTTCATAGTAGACAGGGTAGTGAAGGCAGCGTTTGGTACGCTTGCCTTTATTGGTCACCGCATTGAGGCGAGGAGTTGGGAGGTCATGTTGTGGCTGTACAGGATGTTGGTTAGGCCACTTTTGGAATACTGCGTTCAAGTCTGGTCTCCTTGCTATAGAAAAGATGTTGTAGAAAAGTTATAGAAAAGAACTTGAAAGGGTTCAGAAAAGATTTACAAGGATGTTGCCAGGGTTGGATGGTTTGAGCTATAGGGAGAAATTGAATAGGCTGAGGCTATTTTCCCTGGAGCATCAGAGGCTGAGGGATAGCCTCAAAGAAGTTAATGAAATCATGAGGGGCATGGACAGGGTGAATAGTTAAGGCCTTTTCCCCAGGGTTGGGGAGTCCAAAACTAGAGGGCATAGGTTTAAGGTGAGGGGATAGCTTTAAAAGGATCTGAGGGCCAACATTTTCACACAGACAGGTGCATGTATATGGAATGAACTGCCAGAGGAAGTGGTGGAAGCTGGTACAATTACAACATTTTAAAGGCATCTGGATGGGCATATGAATAAGAAGAGTTTAGAGGGATATGGGCAAGAATGAATTATATGACTTTATGCCATCTAGTTTTGGACTCCCCAACCATAAGGAAAAGACCTTGGCTATTCACATTATCTATGCCCCTCACGATGTCATAAACCTCTTTAACATTACCCTTTCAGGTCTTACACTCCAGGGAAACCAGTCCCAGTCTATCCAGACTCTCCTTATAACTAGAACGTTTCAGTCTTGCTTACATCCTGCTAAATCTTTTTTGCACTTTTCCAGTTTATTAACATCCTTCCTATAGCATGGCAACTAAATTGTACATAGTACTCCAAATACGGCCTTACCAATGTCTTGTACAGCTATAACATGACATCCCAAGTCCTGTACTCAGTGCTCTGACCGATGAAGGCAACTGTGCCGAACACCACCTTCATCTTCTTGTCTACCTGTGATATCACTTTCAAGGAACTGTGTACCCGAACCCCTAGGTGTCTTTGTTCGAAAACACTTCCCAGGGCCCTACTATTAACTGTATGTCTTGCCTGGTTTTGTCTTACCAAAACGCAATACCTCGTTTTATCTGAATTTAACTTGATCTGCCATTCCTCTGCCCAGTGGCCTAGTCAATGAAGATCCTGTTGTACTCTTAAACAACCTTCTACACACTGTCCACGATACCACCAACTTTGATGTCATCCACAAACTTACTATGCTTCCTATATTTTCATCCAAATTGTTTATGTAAATAATGAACAACAGCAGACTCCGTACCGATTCTTGCGGCACACTGCTGGTCACAACCCTCCAGTCTGAACAACAACCTTCTGCTGCCATCCTATGTCTTCTACCATCAAGCCAATTTTGTATCCAATTGGCTAGCTGTCCCTAGATCCCAAGTGATCAAACCTTATTAACTGGTCTACCACAAGGAACCCGGAAGGTCTTACGAAATTTTGCCCATCCTTTCCATAGGATATGTATCCTCGGATGTTTAATTCCTAACTCTGATCCCCTACAGTCATGTCTCTGTGCTACCCACAACATGATACCTGCCAATTTCAGTCTGTATGACCAACTCAGTTACCTTGTTTCAGATAATTTGTGCACTGAAATACAACACACTTAGTCCTGCACTGACTGCCCCTTTTCTCATAGTTGTTCCCTCAGCTGCTGTGGCTGAAGTTAGATTCCTGACCCTTTCCATATTATCTGTCCTATTACTTGTTCTGGAAACTTTAATAGTCTCTGCTGAGCACTCTCTCCCTTTAACTTTTTCTGTAATTCTACATACAACCAGAACTCCCCCACCCCTTCAGTTTAAAGCCCTATTCACATCACTTGGCATCGGGTAGAGTGTTCTACTGAAAGCTACCACCTTGTCTTTTGTCTTTCACCCTCAACCTCCTTCCTAACCCCCCCACTCACCTGCACCCATAGGTCTGGAAACAATCTTTGGTAAAGTCCTGAGATAACAAGGTGTGGAGCTGGATGAACACAGCAGGCCAAGCAGCATCAGAGGAGCAGGAAGGCTGACGTTTCGGGCCTAGACCCTTCTTCAGAAAGTCCTTGCAGCATTACTGGAAGGAGTAACGTTTCTGGGAGTACTGCTATGGCAATTTGGAACAGCTGGCGTCCAATTTGTTGGCAGCTTCCATGAAGCTATGGCTGCCCCCTGGAATCTCAAATCTTGAGAAAGACCAGACACTGGTCATTTAAATACCTGACAGGTGCTTCATTTGATAATGCCCTCCCCCACAGGGATGAGATGGGGTTTGCACCGGTACTCCAACTACTGTCCCCACATTAAATTCTGACCAGTGCTTCAGGTCACTAACCTTTCACCAGAACTGGCTAGACATGTCACAAATTTTAAACAAATACAAAGACAGGAAAAGGGGCAGGGAGAACAAAGGAAATAGTTGTGATTGGATGAAAGGCAGATCAAGGTAAGTGATTAAAGGAATGATTGTGCAAGATAATGAGATGGTAATGGGCCAAGTAAAGAAATAAAAGATAGGTTTAGAGGAAATAGTGGAATCATCAACAGCTACTACACAAGAAAACTGCAGAAATTGTTAAGTCTGGAAGGCTGCAAAGAGTATAATTGAAAGATGAGTTGCTATTCCTTGAATTTACTTAGAGTTTTATTGAAACAATGAAGGCTGAGAAGACATCATAGCAGGAGCAAAAATTAAACGGTGAGGCAAGTAGCTTGTTAATCAACAAACTAAACAGAAATATTCCATAAAGATGTTACTGTTCACCTGATGCAGAGGTTGTACAATCTGCTAAGCAGTAAAAAGGTTCTGGAAATTCTGAAGAATGGTCACCGGACCTGAAATGTTAACTCTGATTTTTCTCCACAGATGCTGCCGGACCTATTGAGTTTTTTTCCAGAAATTTGTTTTTGTTTCTGATTTTCAGCGTTCACGGTTCTTTGCTTTTTTTTGCTCCTGGAAATTGCTGGTTTTCAATTGAGTGATGGGCTTCGTACAACTTGCCTTAGAGTGATCTCAGATTTTTCTGTTTAATTCTATTTCTTACCTCAGAAATTAGCGTTATTAGTAGTTCAAGAGATCAATGCAGGCAATTACACTACTCGGCAGATGGAACAAGGAAAGGGTCCGGTCATTTTTCCCTCTTCTTGTTCACATACAGGCTCTCATCTAACAATGTGGATTACCTCTTTTATGTCTTTTCTATTCAGAGCTTCAGAAGGCAGAACAGTGGAGGTTCCTTACAAAGGAGATGTGGAGAGTACAATCCTTGATATTTTAGGGGGATTACGCTCCACCTGCACCTATGTGGGAGCTGCTAAACTGAAGGAACTGAGCCGGAGAACAACATTCATCCGCGTAACACAGCAGTTTAACCAAATGTTTTCCTAGGGGCTTTTACAATGGAAGAAACTGAAGAGTTCCACTCCTGCAGAGGTGTCTCATTCTAAAGCTTTGGTGCAGTTCAATATAGTTTTCACTTTTGATAGTACAATATTATTTTGCTGTTTCCCTGGTTTGAAGCTCATAAAAAAGATGGACCCATTGCCTCTAGGATCTAAACTTACAGCTAGGTTTGCACTTTCTTTTCTGTATTGTGAAACAATTCTTTGCTGAAAGTGACAGCTCAAGATGAAAAATCAATAACAAATTATTTTAAGTTATTAAAATTGAGGCATTATTGCCTCATATAGAACAAAACTCAGTTTTGTATACACTGCTCAGGCGTATTCAATTTTTAATGTTGTGAAACAATATAATTTATTTGAGGAATTAATTTAATTATACAATACTGCTTAAAAAGCTGTGTATATTGTCTGCAAATGTGGAATGAAAAATTAAATACCTAAAACAAATGGTTCACTTCAAAAATGTGTAGTTCCTTCATGTTGAGTAATATTACGAGGTTGGAATTGACCACACTAATTAATGAGACAATATCACATCATCTGGAGCTCTTTAAAAAGTGTGCCCGTTTTAATTTTTTTAAAAACTGATATAGCTTCTTTTTGACACATCACTGAAAATAAGTCAGTTTTGAAAGACTTTCCGAGGGCATAAATTATGCAAGTAGCTGTGTATAGTTCACTTCAATTCCCATTAACTCTCTGTGGTATAATAATGTCAGTGAGCTCCTAGTCAACCTTTCTTTCACTGGAATTGGGCGAGTAAAGCCAATGAACTTCAAACACACAGAACAAAAAATCTAGTCTACTGCATTTGCTGCAGACAATGTGGTCTCTTCTGCATTGGAGAAACAAAGCGTAGACTGAGTGGCTGCTTCGCAGAACTGCTGAGCTTTCAGTTGCCTGCCACTTTAACATACCATCCTGTTCCCTGGCCAACATCTCTG